ACACCTACAACTTCTACCAACTCAATTTTTTGATCTCCTTGCTATTAACTTGTCCCTTGAATTCTTTTTACTATCCACTACAACTACATCACTAACTCCAACTCTAACATTCTCAAGATCATCAAATAAGAAAAGAAATCATTTTCAATAACTCCATAAAATATTTTAGTTATTTAGTTATTAGATTGGATGTAGTTGTTTTATATTTTGGTTTTATCCATTATGTTTGGTTGTTATGGTTTGAGTTTTATCGAGTCTCTATGTCATGCCTATTTATAGGCCTCTACTTTCGTCATGAATAACAATGCATTTTTTAGTCTTTATAATTTATTTCTCACATGGTATCAGAGTCTATTTTTCTCATGTCGTAGATATAGCCTACTAACCCGTATTTTTACGAGTACATTCAACATCGGATGTACCAAGAGGTCTTCCAATTTTGTGATTTTTGTTATGATTTCTAGTCTTTTTGTTTCTGATTTTAATTATATTTTGAGTCATAATTTTGTCTATGATTGAAGTTATGTCTGCAGTATGCGATTTGTCTGTCACGTTTCTTGAGAGTCATGTTTCTGACTCCATTGAGAGTGCCGTTATTTTTTGACTTCATCGAGAGTGCCGTTATTTTCGACTCCATCGAGAGTTCTGTTGTTTCTAACTCTATTGAGAGTGTCGTTGTTTCTGACTCCATTTAGAGTGTCGTTATTTTTTACTCCATCGAGAGTGTTGTTATTTCTGACTCCATCGAGAATGTCGTTGTTTCCGACTCCATCGAGAGTGCCGTTGTTTACGACTCCATCAAGAGTGTTGTTGTTTCCGACTCTATCGAGAGTGTTGTTGTTTTCGACTCCATCGAGAGTGTCGTTGTTTTCGACTCTATCGAGAGTTCCGTTATTTCCGACTCCATCGAGAGTGTCATTATTTTCGACTCCATCAAGAGTCCTTATTATCATCGATCTCTCTTTGCAAACTCAAGTTGTTTTGCCAAACCACTTGAGTTTGACGGGGATGTTGAGATATTTTAGTTATTTAATTTTAGATTAGATTTAGTTGTTTTACATTTTGGTTTTATCCATTAGGTTTGATTATTATGGTTCGAGTCTATCGAGTCTGTATATCATGCATATTTATAAGCCTCTACTTTCGTTATGAATAACAATGCAATTTTTTAATCTTTATAATTTATTTCTAACAGATATCTTATAATCGATGTTCTTTTCGGAGATACACCGAATTGATCAATTTGAAACGCAACAGAATGGATCACTTATTCCATGTGAATGGGCTGCAACTGTTCACCAGAGTTCATACGTAGATCGGACCTCTTACAAAAATCAACTAAAATAGCAATAGAGAAACCAACTATTAACACAATATATCTTAATTTTACTACACATTGGATTCGCGCTAGTCTGAAAATACTGTAAGACATAATAAGACAAAGCACACATCCTAACTCACATTTAGCTTTTGTGCTAAGTTATTGTTTTGAAATTTTGGATGTGTTTGGCAAGTAGCTGTTAGCTGATTCAATTAGTTGGTTTGACTAGCTGATTCAATTAGTTGTTTGTATTAAAGTGTTTGCTAAATATCAGTTTGACATTAGTTGTTTATACGTAAAATGAAAATTAAAAAAAAGACATTGATATGTTATTTTTTTGAATATTTAATTTTGTTTATTTTGATTTAAAATCTATAAGAATTTTTGTTATTAATTATTGAAAATCATAAAAATATTATAAAATTTTTATTTGTATATTTTAGATTTTAGAAAAATATTTTTATTAAAAAATAATAATAAAATTTTATTGAAATTATGGAAAATACTCCCCCCGTCCACAAGAAAAGTATACAATTACTTTTGGCGCGGTGTTTAAGAAATAATAGTATTTTAATTATAGTGGGTAGTTAAAAGTAGTGTAATGACATTTTTGCCTTTACTTTTTGGTGTAAAAGTAATGATGTGATGTAAAGTAGGAGTATTTGTGGAAAAAAGTAAGGTATTTAATGAAATGTTTACTTTGTAATTGGACGTCCCAAAATAGAAACATGTATACTTTCCAACTGGACAGAGGGAGTATAAAATAATAAATCTTTTGTGTATATATATATATTTATTATGATAATTATTGTTTATTGATTTTTAATCTAAAATTTATATAATAAAAGAATATATAAATCAATTAATAATATTTGTTTTTTATATTTGATTTAATTTTAGTATATTGAGATATTTTATAAATAAAATGATTTATATGTAATAATTAATAATAGTAATTATTTTAAGTTTACAAATATAATCTATAATTTAATAAATTAAATATATTAAAAATACTTAATAAATACTGCAATAAAAATATATATGTATGAAATAAATAAAAAAATTTTAAAGGTAAATAAGAAATAAATAAAAGTGAAAAATCTCTTCCAAAATGCTAGTAGATTAGCTTTTTAGAAATTAGGGTTGTATTTGGTATAGATAAATGAGGTCTGAGAAATGGAAATAGTCTCATTTCTCTTGTTTGTTTGAGTAAGAGAAATAAAACTTGAGAAATGAATTCATTTATTTTCAATATGCAGAGAAATAAAGAGAAATAATGGAGTAGTATGTATATTTTTTTTATTTTTCTTACTTTTTTGAACTATTTAATTTTTATAATTTTTTAAAATTATATTATTTCAATTTTATAAAAATTAAATTAAATTTATTGTTAAAGTATTTAATTTGTACAATATTTTAAGAAATTGTACTAAAATATAATTTTAAAAAACATCATGTATAATTTATAATTTTTCTAAAAAAAAATCGCCAAAAATATTTTTCATTAATTCTAATTCGTTAAGACTCTTTTTTTTTTTTTTATCCGGTTAATCATTATTGTTGTTTGATCCATTCATATAGCTGCATTTTTTTTACATTTCTAGACTGAAAACTCCGCTTTACCAAATAAGAGAATTAATTATCATTTTCTACTCAATTCTATTTCTCACGAACTCCATTCTCAACTCTCATTTCTCTACAATTCTATTCTCTGTACCAAACACACCTTAGCTTTTTAGTCCTAAAAGCTCTTTCAGAAAAACCAATTTACCAAATATATAAATTAGTTTTTGACTTGTCAAACAACTAAAAATTGTTTAATAAATTAAAGCTCTTCAAAAAGCTCTTTTTCAAACACTCACTTAAACTATGACATGTTTTAATTGTGTTTCAAACACAAATTAGTATAATTTCCCGGGCATAATCTTTTATAAATTATTACATTAAAATATTATTTAAATTTAAATCAAAATCAAATAAATTTTAATGTAGCTATTTATTGTTGTTATTTTTGTTACTGTTGTTATGAACATAGTTTAAATAAAATATTTTATAAAATAAAATTTATAATTTTCATAAAGGAATATGATAATTATATAACAAAAATTAAAATCAAATTTAAAAATACTTTATAATTTTATAACGAACACATGTAATGTTGTGAGGAAGTAATTTCCTTCATAATAAATTAAATTTGGGAGAGACTATAGTATTGGTTGGGAGCAAATCAACTGATTTATCCAATTAGTTGAAATCATGTGGTGCTAAACAATTATCTATATAAATTGTGCTTTATAAATATATTTTATATATTGGAATTATTTATAGTATATATTATTATCAACATTGTTACATATTATATTTCTAGTATATCAACATAAATGATATTAAGTTTATCATATGTTGTTTGTTGTTATATATTGTGATGCTATTGCTCAATTAAAAATTGACATCAAATTAATATTTATATTGTAAATTATGATATATTTTTCTCCATTCTAATCGAAAGTGTATTCTTTTATCATTTTTGTTTGTGGATTCTAAAGTATTATTTTTTATTATAATAAAAATAATTATTAACTAATAATAAAATACTCTTGAATCTTTTATATATTTTATAAATATTTCACTACATATATATAAAGTATAGAAGATAAAAAATATTAAAATTATCTTATATATATTTACTGATTAATAAAATATTATTATTTTTTAAATTATTTAAAAAAATTTTAAGAAAAAAGTATATAAAGGAAAGAAATACGCCATAATATTTTTAACACATCATATTGTTCACTTGTATCAATATTTGAATATTTGTAGGATTGTTTATTGTTTTTAACTTTAGATATTTTTTATATTAGCATGAAAACATATAAATGATATAAAAAGTAGCGTTGCAATTTGGTTGTTTTTTTTTTTTTTTTTTTTTTTTGTGTATTGTAATATTTGATTTTATTTTATTTTGTGTATATCTGAAAATTATTTAACTAATCTAGTCCTTATTTCTGTGCCTATAGAATTTGTTTTTTTCAACCATTTTTTATATAATTTTTAATATATATATTTTTTAAAAATTTTCATAAAAATTTACATTCAATATAAAAAAAATTATTATTGACATGATTTCATATTACCACATATAAAAAACACTTTAAATCAAAACACTAAACAAACAAATATTATTTTTCATGATACATTATTCTATATTTTATTTGTAATTTACAAAGAAAATAATTATGAAATTGGCAAATAGAAGTTGGGTGAGGGAGTAATTTGTTTAATTTTAAGTTTTTTATTTAAGATTTTTTTAATAGCATATTAATATGATATTTTACATAATAAAATAATATATTTTTATTAAAAATACTTCTTTCATCTCTTAAACATCTATAAATACCTTTCCAAATAGTTATCATTTATAATATTAGTTACTTTTTTTTATTATTATCTAAATATAATATTAATATTTCTAAAACTGCATATCAGAAGTAAACGAAGGGAGTAATATAAATTGCAATAGTAAAAATTTTAACTTAAATTACAAAGGAAGCAAACTTAAGGCTTCATTTAGACATTTATTTTCTTTCTTTTTTTTTTTTTTGAATTTTTAAAAGATTTGAAAATATTTATTAAAGAAAACAGCTCTGGTTGATATTCTAACTTATTCAATACACCTTTACGCCTTCATATTTCAAGAAACAACGACTAATAGTCTCATCGTTTCTTTAAATCTTATATATATACTATATATAATTTTCATTTTATTGCCACCTGAACAGATGCTTGGAATCCAGTATCTGTTCAGTAGCTTCCAAGAAAAGAATGGAAGTTTCCTAGGCATTTTAACCTATTACTTTCATCGCCTTTCCTAGCATATGCATACACAGTCTGTAGAAAACGAAATCTCCACATTAAGCACCTGTTTTTCCTTAAATTGTTGTAGTACGCCTTTTCCACTTCCAAGTTCAATTTTGGCAGCAGGACACACACACACACACACACACACATATATATATATATATATATATCGCTCCAAGTGGGCCTAAATGAATGATACTGGTATTTTTATCTTCTAATGTACGCAGAACTTATTAAACAAGTAGATGATTGCGATAGAAGTAGTACCAGATACTTAACATTTCAGATAGCTTGAGATTTCTGGCGCTTTGCTTGTTGCAGTATCGGCTCCTTCACCTGTTATTGTGGAAATATATTGGTAAGGACAGTTGGTAGACAATGGACAATGGCTTGGAGGTTGTCAATTTATTGCAGCAGAATACATGTAGCTATTATTAAATTGCAAAACATTAACTCAGTTGGCATTACCATGCTTGTTTTCCTGTATCGTTTGCCCTGAGTCGACCCGGTCGCCATTACTATATCCATCTCATCAACAGCATTGGCGTTAGCATTAGCATTAGCATTTCCATTTCCATTTCCATTTGCTCTATCATTATTGGCACCAGGGACAAAACTCTCCCTGGAAGTTACTGGCTGCAGATTCATTACAAAATTAGGCATAAGTAATGATATATGCATGGGAAGCTGCTGATGATTCAAATGAGGCATACCTCAGCCCTGCTACTCGGAGTGTTTCCACCGCGTTCCCTTTTTCTTGCTGCGCCCTGTTCCATTTTGGTCGAGTCATCCGCGTGCACGTCTGGTAATCCTCTTGTCCTCGTAACATCTGATCCAATAGAGTGGAGGCCACCAAACGTGGACGTCATATCCCTTTGTTTGTCAACTAAGGTTGAAAAGAGCTTTCCATTAGTATACAATATTGTTGCAAGTAGTGAAATTACATTACATTTAATCATCCTAAAAGTAGCCAAGGATACCGGCAGATTCAGGTTCTGGATTGTTGAGTTTGTTCACTGCTTCCTTCAAATCTGGGTTCTAATGAAATCCAACCATAAAAATATGGAATCTGCTGATTTCAACAGAAAGTTTTAAAAATTCTTGGTTACTTACTACAGAATCTGCAGATAATAGCTTCTTGACCTCGGCCAGCTTTTTCTTAGTAAGATCAGAGTGAATGACACGCTTGCCTGCATATGAGATTGAGCATCTAATATATTTAGCAGAAATGGTATAGTTAGCGACGAGTTGTATTTACCAAGTCTACGGTTGTTGCTGCTGGCCTCAATAAATCCATCTTGGGTCATTCTGTCGATAAATTTGCGCGCCATGTTTTGGTTTATTTGGCCTTCAAATTTGTTCTGAAGCTTTGCCACTGTTATGTAGGTCATTGGAAGAGTGTGATATAAGGCCTGAGACGACAAGCAATTCTTAGTAGAGAGTGAGATTTCAGTTCATCTGTGAAGATAGTTCGTTGTATATGAAAATAGCATTTTTGGATCTACTTGTAGCAACAAATGCTGCAAAAAATAGAACAGGACTGACCTTCATGTAAGTGTTATCTACATTCACAGTTGCAGCTTTTCCGTCATGTATTGCCAATTGTCCATTGGATTCTTCTTTGACAGCATCAAACTCGTAATCAAATTTCTAGTAGGATTGAAGAAGTGAATAAATACCATTTGTCAACCTTTAACATTAGGCTCGGAATTCTAGGGTGGAAAGAAAGGATGAAAAGAAAAGGATAATGACCTTTTTCTTATTAATGACGTAGCTATCTCCTGAAGCTTTTGATATAAAGCATTCCTTGGCAAGCTTGTCCATAATCTCTGGAAAATAGGTACATTTAGCATCGCTCAGTAACCAACTATATGTGACATTATTATTTCTATTAAGCTTAAAGCAGGTCCCTTCCCCATCAGAAGTACCTTCAATCAAGACCTGCACATATTCAATCATGTAGAACAAACAATAAATTAGAACCAGGGAAGTAGTTGTTACAACTTTTATTTTCACTGTCAATATATATATATATACCACTGAGATGTCTGGGAAGTTTGAAAGGACATCAGTTAGGTCAATTGTGTCAAGGTGGTATGAGCCGATCCACTCCCTTAGCCTTCTCAACTGTTGTTCATCTTCTTCGGGGTCCTGGGTGTTATCTGCAAGAAGGAGACAGACAAGAATTTAAGTTGAAACTCCTTCTAAAAGCAATTTAGCTTGAGTTATTCGTGAAATTTACGAGACCTGACCTTCATCAGCTGCTCCATTCTGTTGTTGAAGCTGTTGTTTCTCTGAAATAGATAAATAATTAAAATTCTAAAAGTCCAACCAAACAGGATGATAAGAATATTAAGTGATATGAATTTACCTGCTGCTGGGGCTACAATATATTGATCATCATCCGAACTGCTGCCCTGAAGTTAGAGGCAGAAAGGCAATATGTCAAAGAAGATGGATCATAAATGAAGTTTGTGCATAAAGAAGTGATGCACTTATTCATTTACCTCACTGTCAGATTCACTGTATTCATCTAGTTGGAGAGAATCAGCTAAGCTCACATCCACATCTTGATTGCTATTATTTTCATCTTCACAAGGATCAAGTACGCTCTTAACCTGTCAAGTTCCAAGAGATGGAACTTGTAAGACATGTAAAATGGTGAAAAACTTGAAGTCCTACCTACCTTTAGAGCTAGCACTAAATGTTTGCTGTTGACTTTTCCAACTTCCATCTTCAGGGGATTTCTAGTCCAGGGGTTATAAGCTTCTTCCTCTGTACAGCTTCTGAAAAAAGGGGGCTCATAATCTGCCGGCTGCATATCATGAAATGCAATTTAAGACATCATTTCTGCTACAATAAAATTCTATTGATTTCTACACTTTGTTGAAGTTTTCTTCCTTGCTCTATAATGTTTACAGAACATGTTGGCTTGTGGAAATTACATATCATGCATAAAACTTTAAAGGGAAGATCTACCGTGACATCGTCATAATACAGGAGCTTCATCAACACGGTGCGCTGTAAAATTAGAACACAATGAATTAGCTTTCATCAAGAAGGCAACTACATGAAGTAAGACGCAGTAAATATCTTGTAAGTGGTTCCTCCAGTCTCTGGAATTTGACCTCTTCAGGCATCTTATCCAGAGTTCTCATTAGTTGAACTAGTGTGCGGACCATTTTGCATGCCCAGCTCCTGTACAAAAGCATTTTACACCTTCTGTAGAATAATAGACAAGCATAGACTAATTTACATTCATTCATCTACCTCATCTGACTGGGAGTTATCTCTGTTGAGGAGTTACACTTGATTGATCCCCCCTTTTTTGTTCCACTACGATTAATGTTCATGGAAACCTCTTGACTATCAGAATTCGAGTAACTGAATGAAACTGCAAGAAATTTACTGGAAGAACTTGTTAACTGTGCTATTGGAAGGTTTTATCTATAACCCGCTACTGCAGCTTCTGGTGTGATTAAGTATACGTACATTTTGTAAAATACGAACAAGCATAATAATGTAATATGAAATTTCTGCATCCGTTAATTTTCTCATAGAAGCAATTCTGTGAAGACTTACATGCATATTCCTCAATCATTGAACCTTCTACGGACTCACAGATACAGAACAAGAGTGTTTTCAGATATTTTTTCTGCAAAGCGTCATAGACACCTACAAAAATAGACATATACACAGACATATATAAAATGAGCTATTCGATTTGCTGGGGACAGACACAGAAAGCAAAATATTTGAATTGAGGATTTTATATTGATATACCTTTCTCCATCCAATCAATGAGTCTGCGTGATTCAGCATCCATAGGCATGAGCTTTTTAATCTTCATATCTATTATCATATGCAGGTAATGATATCAGTACAACACCGTAGTTAAAGTAGAAATAATCAGTGAAGGTTGTTGGCTACTAACCCAATGCTGGAACAGACTTGTCATTGAAATATTTCTCAGGGAATAAACCTCTGATGTAACTGATGTTGAATATGGCAATGCGCAGCAGATTTCTAGTCTGATCAAATGAGAACGCAATTTCAAAATAACTGAGGTATTTGGTGTTTTATGTATATTTGAAATACTGAAATTACTTGCTGCCAACTAAAATTGTGTAACACAACCAAACTACTGCGCGTGCAGAGAGATACACTTATTATTCATTAAGAAAAGAAAAACTGTAGTGAAGGTTCCAAACTTTGAAAGCTGTACCAATCTCAACCTAGCTGAGATGTTCCACGAAGTATAGCAAATAAGATATGCAGTAGAGTTGTTTAAAAAAGGATATAAAGTAAGCTTGTTATAGTGTATCTCATTAAAATAAGAGAGCGTTGCAGGCAAACACATAAAACATGTATTATTCGAATACAATGCATTATAACCTGTTCACTAGCACACTTCACTTATAAAACGAAGATCATTTCAATACATAAAAAGGCAAAGGAATTCATCCTCTAAGCGTATCATCTTTCTCGCCTTACACCAAAGTAAAGAAGAAACCAATGCATCTGTAAATCGTCTAATACAAATGCAGATAATGAAGCCAGACAAAAAATAAATATCGATCCACAATCAATATAGTAAATGATGAATCGAGAACCTTACAGCTCTCCTAAAACTCAATATCGCGTCAGCCTCGTCAATTTATCAAAACAAACAAACACACTGGTTATATTAACCATTATCTAACGCGAATTGAACATTCGAATTGGACAAAATGAGAGCAACAGAACGCTTCAGCAAATAATACAGAAAAAAACAGTAGTAACCAGTGATCGAATACTTACGAGTAAAAGAGAGTCCTGCTCGGTGATCTCCGATTCCTTCACCTTCTGTGCAACCACCTGAGAAATTATTAAAAAAAAAAAACAACGGCTAATATCAGCACCGCATTTCTTCGAACTTACAAAATCACAACTGTAAAATCCGAACTGAGCTTCAGCTCACCATTGCTGCAGATATTGGACGAAAAATCTACGTGGGAAAGTTTGTTTTTAAAAAATGTGAACTCGTAAGCAGAATGTAGTCGTCGAGGCGAGGCATATATATACATATATATAGGAGCTCGGTCATTAACCATAGTTATATGTTGCGTTACTCTGGTTAACCGAGCACGTGGAAAGGGCGCTAATGGCAGATTCCGTTACTTCAAGTAAAAAAAAAAAAAAAAAAAAAAAAAAAAAAAAGAAGAAGAAGAAGAAGAAGAAGAAGTGGTAATTTTTATATTTGTAAAAAAAATTTTAACAAAATATGTCTATTAGTAATATTATAAAATACTAATGCAAATATTTTTATAATTTTTTTTTAATTTTTATTATATTTTAATATAATAATTAATATTCAAAGATCAACACAAAAATTAAATGAGATCCTCAGAAAGGGACCGAAGTAATATAATTTAACAGTATAACTATATGATTCAATAAATTTATATTACTATGTCCGTCCTACTGTAAAGTCCCATTTATTTTTTGTATATTTATCTTTAAATATAAATTATTATATCAAAATATAATACAAATTAAATAAAAATTATAAAAATACTTTCCTTAGTATATTTATAAAAAATATATATAAATATAAAAATATTTTTAATATTAATAAAAAATAAATGTGTCCATTGAGAGGAAGCAAGAGAGTATTAAATATATTTTCATACGTTTATAACAGTGCAGTTTGGAAATTTATAACGATGATCATGATACCAAACCAAAGCCAAGCCAAGACAAGGTAATAATAATTTGAAACACTAAAGGCAAACATATAAATAAAAAGTCACCAGAAAAATTCATAAGTACCAAAACACAGAGAACCAACAAGTAAATGTAAATCCAACACTCCAAGAGAGTTTCAATGGAAATTTGGCAGTCTTATATTATTTTTCCCCTGACAGATGCTACAGCTCCAATGTCAGAGTCGATACCCAATACCCGTCGGAACAACCCGAGTCATGCCCGGCAGCAAGTCGAGCCTATCAGTTCTTGGAAGGTTTATTTCGAATCTCCAATACCTTTTTTTTTCCTTCCCAAGCAAAGAACATTTTTTCATCGGCCTAATGGTTCTCCGTTGAAATCCGAAGGACACACAGCAGCTGCTATTTTCTCGCGAAGATTGAACTTCTTGGCGATCACCGGCCGCACATCTTGAACTCCGACTAGACTTTCTAGGAAGGGGATGACCGATAACAATTCCCTGTCAGAACGGTCATCGAACCAGCTTTCGATAGGAATTCCATTATCAACTTGGAAGCCGAATGCCTAAAATTTGTTGAGCCATCAGGTAAGAGAAGTTAATAATGAAACAGCAATGAATTCCTTTAAGCTAAGTTTTACCTGAGGAGAATTGTCGATTATAATAACACGAGACAAGTCACGACCGAGAACAGAGAGATCTTTGAGGTAATTTCCATCAACAAACACGCAGGAATCACGGTAGACACGATGGCGAAATATTTTCCTCTTTGGATCCAGAACATTTAGAAGCTGCTCGGCGTAAATGCTTTGACTGGCGGTGAATATGATTATCTCAAAAAGTTTTGATACTCTTTCCAAGAAGTCTACAAGATATGGCCGGCATCGAACATATACTGTGTAATCCTTCATGTTAAAATTCACGGTGAATGTGAAATCCGCATCATTACATGGTTCCAGGCTCGAGTGCACCAAAGTCTCTGGCAGACACAAATTTCAGAAGAACATTACTACTTGAACATAAAAGAATATCTAAACTATGTACAGGTAGACGAAAAAGAACAAAAAACAATAAGAAATGAACAAATTTACACAGGGACAAATGATCAAACGATTCGATTTTCTTCTTTCGGAAGACTAGAAATGAACAAATGCACACTTTAACTAGAAAACATACACAATACACTAAAGAACGAGAGCTTAGGTTGTTTCTACAATTTTGAAAAATACATATCAAAGAGGTCTCAATTTAGCAGGGAAGACAGATATTGTCCAGTCAGCATTCAGCATTTAAACTATAAGCATGTTGCAGCAATAATTGATGTGATTATTAAGAATGCCCTAATACAAAAAAGGGATTTTAAATCAAATCGACTACAGGAGAAAATCTTAAAGACAAAGCTAATTTAACTGCTCGAAAACCTATACTTTGACACTCAGGCAAGTGCAATATCATTAAGATTAGTGGATGATCCAAATTTAGTGGAATAAATATAACAATAAAAGTGATAAAGTAGTGTAGATGAGATTACCATCCAAGTCCAAGACAAGCGAAGTTGATGGACAGCTTCTTGTTTGTTTAGGCAACAGAAGAGGCCTAAAAGTTGGGACCACTGTGGACAGATCAGGTAGGTTCTTTATGAAAAAGTATGGGTCAAAATCATCACATTCTTCAGCATCATCATTCTCTTGGTGGACTTCAGCTGACATGTGATCCTGATTGTTCTCATCACTACATTCCAGGTTAGAATTTTTCATGGGGGGGTATGTGGATGAAACTTCAGATTGAAGAGCACCACCACCTACATTTCCATGAGTATTAAGACCTATTCAATTAAAAGTCGAATAAATGCTTAAGTTTTCATCGAGAAACATATTGTTGTTGCAAATACCAGGACAATCAATCTGTACATTCTCCTTCCCATAGTCTGGAAATTGCTGGTTTCCATGCTGAAAGTATTTATAGAAGTCTTCTGGAAAAAGATTTGACGAAAGAATTAGCTAACCAATACAAGTATAGAGTTGGTGAGACATAAGATATGACGAGCAGAAACGTGGGATAATTTCGCCATATATTTTACCTCTGCTAGAAATTTCCCCTCCAACAACACTTTTTGTCATATGAAAAGAAGGAGAAAAGATGGTGTCCGCAGAACAATTAGTAGTCCCATCACCATGATCCTAGAATATGGAAAAAAATATATACGCACACTACATAAGGCAGGCAATACTGAACTCACTCCAATATTATTATTTGAAAATTGATCTTGATAAATTCCTCATGGCATAAGATGGAGTAATTTGAGACAACAGAGAGAAATTACACAAGGGAAGCTGCAGGTGCAAAGTATGTGATTACCTCCTTATCTACAAAAGAATTATCAAACCCATGCCTGGAGTAATAGTCGAAGTCAATGTTCGTATGATTGGCATCCGCCAATCTAAACTGGGATTCCAAATTTGTTCCATCGACTGGCTCCTCAACTGCCTTAGAAACTGAAAGTTGCAACAGGAACCCAAACACATTATCTTCTATTTAAACACAACACACCGGTGCTAATTATCAACCTTAGAGTCAAAGGTTTATAATGACTCTAACAACAATTTGTAGAAGAAATTGTGCAGTTTGGTTGTCAAGGTAGCCAGGAGGCTTCGTGTTAGGAAATAGGAGAACTATGATCCAGAGACTAAAAATTAAATAAAAGAAAACGTACACAAATTGTTAGAAATGTTAGTGTCTAAGCTTAAACATAAAACTAACATCAGCTAAAATCTCCAGTTAAATATTTCAGCCATAAAAATGAAATAAAGGTGCATTTCCAGTAATCAATACAAAATTGTTGATTTTATCAAAGACAAGTGGGAATTTAAGAGAGCAAGAAAAAACACAATCCTCGTAAAGAAGGGCATTCAGCACTTTATATCAGTAAAAAACACAACCTATTTCACCAGCATTACAACAAGAAATCCACTTACCAACAATTTTCTTCCTAGCAGAAGATGTAATTAGCTCTGTAACTTTCTTAGCTTGAACCTGCACATTATCAACCAGTTTCTTTTGCTGTCTTGATACCCTTTGACTGGCTAGCTCTCTGGAATTCTTTACAGTTGCCTTTTTTTTAGTCTGCATTGCTCAGTTAATGGGGAGTTGCCCCAGGAAACTTATCCTGTATATACTGCAGCAAAACACTTTATCAAGTTGAAAATTTGATTAATCACGACCAATACACTCACCCACACACATTCCACAAATGGCATAACAGTACATATTCCCTTGTTCTATAATAAATCATTTGTATTCTGTTAAAGTAGAGATGTTTGTTCACAAACACAATGGAGGTCCACACACTTGGCACCACAATCAAGCATTGCACAAACAGAGGAATACAACACTCACTATCTTTAACCAAAATTATAAACAAACAAACCCCTTGAATATATATATATATATATATAAACCTAGACGCAATAGTCAACTCCGCAAGGGCAATCAGTAAACACGAAAAAGGGACAAAATAAAACCATAAGAACATAACGAGTAATCCGTCATATCCTATACAAATATGTATCCAAGCTCACAAATTACACAGCGTATACCCTCACAGAGCAATAGCTCCAACGAATAAATAAATTTTCGATACTGATTCAATTACTACTAAAACACATCGAAACAATCCACGCAAGCGACATATTAAGCAACACAAAAGCAAGCTTCCAAAAATTCACCGATACAGCTACACTCAAGCTCGAGCAAATCTAAAACCCTAGAAATCAACCCAATCAACTAAAAGAACAAAGCAGAAAATCCACCTTTAAGCTCCAAACAAGCACAATAACTCAGAGAACAAACAAAAAACAACAGAGAAATCGCACCTGCAATCCGAACTTCCAAACAGAACAACGACGCGAAACAACACCAAGCTTCCCCAAAGTTTGAATCGATTTAACGAGCTGGAATTTTCCAAGACGAAATTAAAATTTGCTCTTTCCCTCCAAAGATTAGAAAATGGAAGAAAAATAGAGGGAAACGAAAAGCAGATCAGACTATATTTCCTTTTCTTTTTTTTCGAATTTTTTTAAAATCGTCTTTGAAATGAAGAAATAGAAGTTGGAAATGGCAGACGGTATTTGTCTTTGTTTTCCGTTCGAAATTTTATCTATTTCCTTAATTATTGATCTCTCTGTCTTCAAATCAATGGCTGTACAGACACACGCGCGCGCGTCTGTCGTTTTTGGTACGCGCCGTTACGTTTTGTACACGTAGGAGTTTTTGGCAGATTTATTTGCTCCGGAGGTCCTTATGGTTTCGGATATTTCAAATGTGAAACAGTCTATTTATAAAGGTGTTTTTTATTTTATCAAATTTAAAATTTTTATTAAATACTAATTTTTTAAAAATAAATAATGAAATATCTGTTATTTTTATATACTCCGCTTTCGCCCTCCGTCATCTTTAAGATCTCATTTATCTTTTGCATAATTATAATTAATATTAAAAATATCTTTATATTTTTATAATTTCATTTTATACAAATACTTTTATATTACTACATTAATTTTTGTAATTTTTTTTAATTTATAATATATTTTAATATAATTATTAATATTCAAATATCAACACGTAAAAAGTAAATGAGACCCTTAAAAGACGGACGGAGATAATATTATTTTTTTACTTTCATTTATAAATAAATAATATATGTATCTTAAAAACTTAAGTTTCTAAGTGACATTATTATAGTTCATATTAAAAAAAAAATAATGTATTTATTTTAACATTTTAAGTTTTTAGATGATATTACGAGAATTAATATTAAAAAATATTTTTACATTTAAAATATTAAACCAATATTTATTTATGTTATGTCGTATAATTATTTTAATTTAAAATTTTATTATTCGAATTTAAACACCCTGAGATCTCCTCTCTATCTTATTTTATTGATCAAATTCTATTTTTGTCCTGAAATTTTAAGTTTTTTAATAATATATTTAATATTTTTAATTCAAATTAAATATTAGTATAATTTTTTAAACTAAAATTGTAAATAAATTATTAATATTTAAAAATATCATTTCTAAAATATGCTGCCAACCCCAATGCTCAGGCCCAATGGATATAACCCAAACCCATAAATTTATGGTATTCGGGTTTGTTTGATTTTGATTTAATATTGAGGTCGTTATTTGAATTTGAATTTAAATATTCTATCTCGATTGAAATTACTATTTTTTACTCTCTTTCCACATAGTTTGTTTGATTTTGATTTAATATTGAGGTCGTTATTTGAATTTGAATTTAAATATTCTATCTCAATTGAAATTACTATTTTTTACTCTCTTCCCACATAAATTTTTTTATATTTTTTGTTTTTTATTCCACATAATTTGTCTTTTATTTTTTTTTAAAGTATACTTATATATTTTAATCATATTTTAAATTTTATAGTTTGTAAACTTTTTAGGTTCAATTAAATTATTTAACTATTTTAATCTTAATATATACGTATTTTTATTATAACATAATTATTTTTGCTAATATACTTTATAATTACTTATTAATTATATTTTATATATATTCATGTACTAAAGTAACGTGAATAATTTATTCGGGACAAAGGAAGTATCATTTTTATTTATCTAATTTGAATTTTTTTTTTTTTACAGTAAAAGTAATGGCATGCTAATGCTAAAATATATTAAATTTTTACATAAATTGCATTAACTTTTGTATACCATTACACATCTGTGTAAAACATCACACGTCTGTATAAAAGACAAAATTATCTTATACATTTTTCTGTAATGAGAAAACGAGAAAGAAAACAAATAAAGAATACAGATATTTTACGTGGTTCGGTGACGGTGTGTCAACCTACGTCCACGGGCAGGAACCGGAGAGATTTTATTGTCCTGATTCAGAGATTTACAATTATGTCATCCGACTAAGAACCATAGCTGTCTATTTATAAGAACCCCAAAACACCCTAAACGCTAAGCCTATTTGCTATTAATTAGGATAAGCCCAAAAGGAACTCTGCCAATTGAAACAGCCATTTCGCTTTGGTTTCGAGTCGGGTAGACCACTAAATCCAAGTCACGTTTCAACAATCTCCACCTTGACTTGGAGTTTCTCCAACCGCCAAAGGTTCGTCAGTATCTCCCAGTCGTCTCCTTCCTACCAGATGCCCCGAGAGGGCTTTACCTCCTACGAATATTCACCAAGTTCAAACAGTGCTCAAACTTCTCCGTCGGTAGCGCCTTTGTCAACATATCAGCTGGATTGTGTTATGTAGCTATTTTCTTAATAGAAAACTTGTCTTCCTCCAGAACATCACGGATAAAATTCAACCTTACATCAATATGTTTGGTTCTCTTATAATACACTGGATTTTTAGCCAAACTTAAAGCACTTTGACTATTACATAATAACACCGTTTTCTCCACCTTCAGACCCAAACTCTGCACCAGACCATATAACTAGATACCCTCCTTAATACCTTCAGTCATTGACATGTATTCCGCCTCAGTCGTCGACAGTGCAACCGTAGGTTGTAAAGTAGACTTCCAACTGACTACACATCCAAACAGAGTGAAGATAAAACAAGTCATTGATCTTCGTTTCACCAAGTCACCCCCATAATCAGAGTTTGCATAGCCAACAAGACCATCACCATGGCCTTTATCATCATATACCAGACAAATATCAGACGCTCAAATATCGCAAGATCCACTTTACAGCTCCCCAGTGAGCTTTACCCGGATTAGCCATAAACCTACTCACCACACTAACCGTATAAGTGAGATCCGGTCTCGTACATACCATCGCATACATAAGACTTCCAACTGCACTTGAATATGGAACCGTCTTCATATAACTAACCTCTTCATCTGTAGCTGGTATAGTGCTTCGATCAAGTTTAAAGTGTGCCGCCAAAGGGGTACTTATCGGTTGGACTGATCAACAGAGAATGCCTGCAAAACTTTCTCAATATACTTTTCTTGAGAAACCCATAGCCGTCTTGCTTCTCTATCACGCCAGATCTCCATACCAAATATTTTCTTTGCCACACCCAAATCCTTCATCTCAAACTCACCCTTTAGTAGAGCCTTCAAGTCATTAATTATAGCCATGTTTTTAGCTGCAATTAACATATCATCCACATACAACAGCATATACACAAAGGAATCAGTAGAAACTTTCTTCGAGTAAACACAATTATCAAACTGATTACGAGTATAACCATTAGACACCATGAATGAGTCAAATATCTTGTACCATTGCCTCGGAGACTGCTTCAAGCCATACAAAGATTTCTCTAACAAGCATACCTGGTCCCCTTTAGAACTGTGGAACCCCTCCGGTTGAGACATGTAAATCTGTTCTTCTAGATTACCATGAAGGAATGTTGTTTTTACATCAAGCTGCTCCAGCACCAGATCAAAAGCACCCACCATTGCCAAAAGAACCCGAATGGTTTTGTGTTTCACCACAGGAGAAAAGACTTCATGGTAATCGATTCCTTCCTTCTGTGAAAACCCTTTTGCCACCAGTCTCGCCTTGAACCTAGCAGGTTCAACACCAGGAATTCCCTCATTTCTTTTAAAGACCCACTTGCATCCCACTGGCTTCACCCCTTTTGGTAGTGCAACAAGATCCCAAGTCTTGTTCTTTTCAAGAGACTGCATCTTTTTATTCATTGTCATAATCCAGGTTTCTGCATCTTTACTCGCCACAGCTTCTTTATATGTCTTTGGCTCATCAGAGCCAAGATCATCACCAACCGCCAATGCATAAGCCACAGAATTCATGTCACATGTATTGACACATCCTGCAAACCTAGCTGGTTTCTGAATATTTCTCTTTCCCTTTATTGCTGCTATGGAATCTTCAACCCCAGTACCAGCGTCATCAGCTTCCCCCTCAATTAGTTTCCCTTGAGGTTTTGACTGATCTGGTTGATTGGATTGATCAATAATATTATTCTGTTGCTCTTCCTCTAACACAACTCTGTCAAGAGTCTCAAACTCCCCCTCTGGTTAGCACCACAATCTTTTGTACTTGCAATACTTTCACAACCTTTACTCTGATCAAGCATAGCAGATTCATCAAAGGTTACATCTCTGCTAATAAGAAATTTAACAGGATTTTTACCTTCTGTACACCACAGTCGATAACCTTTTACTGTTGTTGCATACCCTAGAAATATGCATTTTACCGCCCTCGGCTCCAGCTTACCATCATTCACAGGAGCGTATGCAGGGCATCCAAATATTCTTAGATTAGAGTAATCAGAGGGTTTACCGGACCATACCTCTTGAGGAGTCTTTAAGTCAATTGCAATTGATGGAGATCTATTAACCAGATAGCTAGCAGTGTTTACTGCTTCAGCCTAGAATTGCTTAGATAAGCCAGCAAATATGCGCATACACCTAGCACGCGCCATAAGGGTTTGGTTCATTCGCTCTGCAACTCCATTTTGCTGTGGTGTGTGTCGTACAGTGCGGTGCCTCACTATACTTTCTTTCTTGCGAAAATCATCAAATGGAGCGTTGCAGAACTCCAACCCATTATCAGTTCTTAGAGTCTTGACCTGTTTACTCGTCCGTTTTTCAACCATGGTCTTCCACTCCTTGAACTTCCCAAACACCTCATCTTTAGTCTTCAGAAAGTACAACCAGACTTTTCTCAAATAATCATCTATGAAAGTGACAAAGTAAGAACACCCGCCCTGCGATTTCACCGGAGAGGGACCCCATAGATCTGAATGAACATACTCCAGAATTTCTTTTGAAGTGTGATGACCGGTACTAAACCTTACCCTGCGTTGCTTCCCTTCTACACAAGCCTCACATAATTGAATTTTACCTATCACATCCCCACCAACTTGCTCAACACAGACAACCCTAGCTCACTCATGTGACCTAATCGACGGTGCCACAAATTTGTCCTGTCATCATGTTTATCCAAGGACTGGGATACCGCGGCCGTTCCCATCACTGAACTGCCCTGTATAGTAAAATTCCTTGCTTCTCCTCCTTCGTGTCTTTAGGAAACTTGTATTCTCCCTCCAACGCAGCCGCACATCCTTGTTGAACCAAAAGTCCCCTCATCTTGACCTTCCAGAGTGTGAAGT